GTTAAAAATCCCCCATAAAAACTATGGCCATGGGCCCCACCAGGCACCCCACCATTGGCGTTACATACTAAGCAGATGTACTGACATAGAGGGGAGATCGGGTCAGTCTGATGTATCACGGCCGCCAATCAGATTCAGATCTGCCCTGGAAAGGGATCTGGGACATCGAGCATTAGATCCTGATTGGTTGTGGGAAATGGAGGGCTCAGTAAATGAAGCCCACCATTGCTATATGTCAGTGTTCTGATCCCCCCCCCCCTTGGTCTCAGTCTGGCCATAGATCATGCTTGTTGCATCCGAAGCCCACCTTAGCCGCGATGACAGCGGGGGACATCCGGGGGCGGTAAGGGTCCTCCATACTCTGATAGCAGGGACCGAGCTCTGCCTCCCGGAGGTGTTCCACGCGATCCTTCCTGCGCTGCATTGAACTGGCGGGCGGGGTTTCATATTGGCCGGAGCGCGACCAATCCTGTAACAGAGATTGATTATTGGTGATTGGGGAATACCAGGGTGAGATTTTTTTAAAACACTCAAATGAAGTCTCAGAAATAGATAAACCATCAGATCAGCGTGTACGCACCACCTCAATTTTCCTGCTATTACCGCCACTTTCACGTGGGGTGTGTCCAAATACACCCGGAATTAGACCCAGTGCACTCAGTAATCAGCACTTACTAACAGACTTGGTCTGACACGCCCCCTCTCTGGCTAGACACCCCCCCTTTCTTTGCAATACAAATCTGTGTAAGGACACCTGTGATGAGAGGTGTGACTGTGATGAGGGGTGTGGCTGTGAAGAGGGGTGTGGCTGTGATGAGAGGTGTGGCTGTGATGAGGGGTGTGGCTGTGATGAGGGGTGTAGCTGTGATGAGAGGTGTGGCTGTGATGAGGGGTATGGCTGTGAAGAGGGGTGTGGCTGTGATGAGAGGTGTGGCTGTGATGAGAGGTGTGGCTGTGATGAGGGGTGTGGCTGTGATGAGGGGTGTGGCTGTTACTCAGCTCTGCCGGCCCAGAGCACTGGAGAGGGAGGGTGGGAAGCAGCATTTTACTGAGAGAAATAGATTTTAAGGCACTTGCAGGCAAAGATCAGCCAATGTCATGAGCAGAGGGTGTTGTTAGTCTTCTTCTCTCCTCCTATCAGCACGCTCCTTGTTAGCACTGCAGCACAGCTGGCTCCTCGTGCTGCTTCTCCCTCCCCCAGTGTGAGCTCTGCTGTACAGGGGCTGCAGGAGGCTGATACAAGGTCACACATAGGCACATTTAGGTTCCTGCACAGTTTGCATTCAGGACATGGATGGTCAATGCTCCAATAAATGACAGCTGGCCCCCATTGTGGATCCCCTGACCCCTGACCTGTAACCCGGTGACCCCCCCAGATTGGACAGATTGACCCGCCCCCCCAATCAGACAACAGAGCCACTTACCGAGGTGGGGGAGCTGCACTCACTGACCC